TGATTTCCATAGGTTCTGGACTAATTTACATTCCCACCAACAATGATTTTAAGTATCCTTTTCTCAGCTCCTAATTAGGATTTGCTGTTTTCTATTTTCTGGCCATAGCCATTCTGATTAGGGTAAAGTAGAATCATGATGTAGTTTTAATTTGCATTTCTTTAGTGGCTAAGGATGATGAACATTTTTCATGTGTTTTTGGCCATTTGAACTTCTATTGAAAGGAAACTGTGCAGTTCAATTACCCATTTTTACTGGATTATTTTCTCAATGATACTCAATTTCTTAGTCCTTTATATCTTTTGGATATCAATCCACTGTCCGATATCTGCCAAGAATTTTCTTCCATTATGGACGCCTTCTATGAACATACTGGATTAAAGAAAATACAGCTCACCCCCTAATTTTCTCCAGTCAATGCTACAGAAAACATCAAACAGAATTCTTTTTCATTGTCATACTAAACAGCAGAAAGAAATACAGAATCTCAATTGTAGGATAATTTTTACACCTCCCAAGGGATGGCACCAAGCTGATGATGAAGAGCAGAGGAGAAGATACTTCCCAAAAAAGACTATGGAATACATCACCCAGCATGTGGACCCTGGAGACACACTCTCCAGAAACTCCAGGTTGCTCTTTAGAGGTACTGTGTCCCTCAGGGCACAATCAGATGAGTTTCCAGGAGACTCAACAATTAGTTTGGCTTTGATCTGAATGAAGACCTGGGGGACTCATGTTTCAGGAAACATAATCTGTTGACTAATTCCAATCTGCTTCATGTTAGGATCCACCTAGCTTTCTCAAGGGAAACACTAGACCCCTTGTCCTCATGTTCAATCCAAGAAAAGCCTTTCTGTCTTTTCTGCTCTTGGCTCAAAACTAGGGACTCCTCTTTCCAAGACATCATTCTTGTCTTCTCCACCTCAACCACATAGCACCATGATGCTGACCCTAAGCTGCCTGTACCACAAAAAGAATGCTTGCAGGTGCTAGACTAGTTGTCTGCAAACATCCCACTTGGGAAAAATGGGTAAAGGCCATAGGATCAGGTCCTTGTTTGACACCACTGAGCTGACTCCCCAAGCAGAATTATGGAGATTAGAAAATTTATGAAAGACTCAACAAAAGATAGAGCACCAGCAACTGCATTCTGCCATCTTTCCTTTAATTCTCACAAAGTTCCCCAAGAGGTGAGTAGAATTGTTATGTAATTTTAGCAGTGTCATCTATCAGGTGAAACAAAATGACAAAATACATAGAAAAATAGCATGAAAACTAGGACACAAATGTCTGCCTGACTCCAGAACCTAAGTCCTCAACAACCAATGTACAAAAAAGAGAATGAGAGAATTCTCACTAACATTACCATAATTCTCACAATGCTCTTGTCTATGAAAACAAGATCAAAGGGAAAGTTGGGACTGTGTTAACTCAGTCTTAAGCTCTATCTACTTCCTGAAGGAGTACTTGGGTGTGCTGAGTATTGTCTTCAGACACACTCAGACAAATGCAAAGTCTTAGGGGAAAACTGCAAAGACACCAGATGCTCCCTCCCTCTGCACAGAGCCTGGCAGTGGGCTCTACAGAGATGTTATGGTAGTTTATTGTCAAAGCACTAAGGAGTTGAACCACTAGAGAAATCTGAATGCCCTTGAAGAATATATCTTTGGCCTTGTCTGTTGTTCCTAGTTAACAAGGGGAAGCACTGGACCTCTCTGCCCTTGTACAATTGTCCTCAGCACCATCACACACATGTCCTGATATCTCAGAGCACAAACACTTCTCAGGGAAATGGATATTAGCAATGAGCAATGTGTGAAACTCTGACCTCCTCCCACTGAACTCGGGACTCTGATGATGCCTCTGGCATTCAGGTTGATGCACCTACTGGCTCCTCTCCATGAGGTATGAAGTACTTTTTCCTCTTCCCAGTGTTTCTGAAATAATTGTCTCTTCTTTGACAACAACTAATATCTGGCACTGTGAATATCCATCCTAAGTCTATGTGCTCAAAAAATTTTTCTCTGGTTCCCTCCTTCTTTCGGTCCTACATTGATCCTACCAACCACATCTCCTTTCATGGCACCAATTTTCTTATATTCTTGAACTCTATTTTGTAAGTCACCTTGTTGTTTTCCTTGCAACAAACCTTAATCAAATGCTGCTACATTCTTTAGTCACTTAATGTATGTGCTTAACTACCTATGTTTATGTTAGACTAAGGTCTGAATATCTCTATTGCCAGAAAGGTTTAGTAGAACCCACATTCCCTCTACTAATTCTTACTACCTAGTTAATAAAGTATAAAGTCACTGCATTGGATCAAAATCCTCCACAACACAAATCCCAAGCTTACTTTTTAAGCTGATTCCTTCCTTTACGCTGACCTGAACTTACTCTCTTCTCTTGATAAAAATGTATAACACATTTTTGCCTGAAGTTACTCTCCACAGTCTAACCTTTTTATTCTTGAGGTCCCCTACCCATAAGGAACATGGATTTTGTCTATTAGTTGATGGGTAAAGAGTAAGTGATTTTAATGAAATGGAAAAAATCAGCTGAGCACTGGTGGATGACCTATAATTTAAGCTATTTGGGAGACTGATATTGGGAGGATCAAGGTTTGAGTTCAGTCAGATCAGGGAGTTCATGAGACTCCATTTCAACTAACAGCTGAGTACTGCTGCAGGCACCGATTATCTCACACTACTTGGGAGGCTAAGAACTGGAGGATCATGTTCTAGGACAACCCAGGCAATAAAAGTTTATGAGAACCCATCTTAATGTAAAAATATGAGCATGATAACACATCTGTTATTCCAGAAACAGTGGAAAACTTAAAATAGGAAGATCACAGTCCAGGATGGGCTGGGCAAAAAAAGAGGAGACCTTATCTCCAAAAAAGCCAGAGCAAAAAGGGCTAGAGATGTGGCTCAAATGGTAGAGCATCTGCCACTTCAAACAGTTCAAACTCCAGTACCTCCAAAAAAAGAAATGGACACAATCTTATCTGCATATTATAACGCATAGTTTTCATTCCTGTAAGCAGACATCTGCAAACAATGGAATGGAAGAAGAGATGAGACAAAGGGTGATCACTAGAAAGAGTAACAAGAGTGTGTTAAATTCATTCAATGACTAACAGATTACAAATATTTGCTGATAAAGGGGAAAGAGTTATGTTGAAGTATATATTTAAGAGAGATAATAAAGCAAGAGATTATTAGACCATGCCTACCATGTAACTCACATTCACAAAGGTACTATAAGAAACACTGAGAAATGGTGATTAAATTAAATTCATAATTAATTTTGGAGTATACAAAAAAGAGTGAATTGCATATGACATTACAATGCTAGCAAATTAACCACAAAAAATAAAAGGGCTTAGGGAAAATGAGGCATTATTTTTCTCCTATTAAACTGTTCAAATGAGAGCATTTTTAGTAGTGGAAGCCTCTCCTGGTTGTGGAGAACTAAGGATACATGCTCACCCAACTGTGTCATCTATCATCCCATTCAGCGTCCCTGGACATTTGCATACAGAGGGCACAGTGGGAGAGTAGGGAGGAAGCCATATTCACTTACCTCACTGCAGGAGACACTGGGAAATGTAGTCTGAAGGAGCGTGAAAAAACAAGAGCACAGCACAGATCTGGTTAAACAGCTAGTAGTCTCTGTCATGTGCCTTAAAGTGCAAAATGGATAAAGAATAGGGTATCAGCAGTGAAGCAGTTACAGAAGCTTTACCATATTTCAGGGAGAAAAGCGTGATGGTCTGAGCAAAAGCACTGAGACAATTAAGTATAAAGGCATTGTCATGTAATAATTACATTAAATTAATAATAATAGTATCAGATGTACATGTGAAAAACAAATTGGGAAATTGTGCTTGTAAGCATCACACATGTGGGAAATGCAAGAAATAAATCAGGGTTCAACTCAAGAAATTTTGAGTGCAGACTGATTGGTGCATGAAATGAACAGTTCTCCACATTAATCTGTCATGCACAGTAGTTAACAATAAGTGATATGTAACTTACCTCTCTCAAAATCTTGCAGTCTTAGGATTTATGTCCAATGTATGGGGTTTGGCCAGTCATTGACACCTGAACATGAAAATTTGGAAAAGGAGATCAAGTCTATAAAAATACAACTGAGAGTTTATTAAGCAGTAGTTACCGCCACCATGGAGTTCCATGAGTCACCAAAAAAAATAAGAACAGGAAGACAAGACTGAGGAGAAAAATCATGTGGGTATGTATATTTGAGGATTTGTCAAACACAACCTATTCAAAGAGGTGGTGAAAATCTACTTTGTGAATGGTACACCACGGGCTACATATTAGTACAACAAAAATCCAATGATCCTGGTGATTGATTTACAATCTTCCCATGCCAGTGTAGATACCTGTTACCTCCTGGGCTCTTGGATATCTCTGTGTTTAGACAATGAAACATCCCTAATTTCAAAGCCAGTACTTCTAGTGACAAACCCCTTACTCTGGAATACTTTATCAAGATTTCAGAATGCTGTCTTTAACTTAGAATGCCTAATAAGATGAGTGTGCAATTCTGGTTGTAAGGTCCTTCAGAGCAGGGAATATGTCTTAGGTGTTGAATGAGAGGAGGAATTAACTGCATTTTTACCATTTCTATGATTTCTCTGTAAGGCATAACGGACAGTGGGCAATGGAATATGAACTTGAATTATGAAATAATCAAATCTGAGGTGTTTGCATGGTGGTGCTGATGGGAAGAGTGAGCACACTGATTCATAGATTGCTCAGTTCTTAGTCATGAGTTCCTGGAGTGAATAACTGTTAATTCCATTGACAAACAGGGAGTTTACCCCAAACTATGGGGTGCCTCTCAATTTTGTAAAGTCAGGCAAAGAGCCAGCTTAACTCTTGAGTAAAATAAGTTAATGTGAAAGGTCATGATACACAATAGCTGTACTAATAATTCTGTATTCTTCTCCCTTTTTTGCAGAAGCCATGAGAGAAGAAAACCAGTCTTCTACCACATATTTCATCCTGCAGGGAATTACCAGGCAGCAAGAACAGGAAGATTTGTTTTTCATCCTTTTCCTGTTCATTTACTCCATCACATTGATTGGAAACATGCTCATCATCCTAGCCATTCTCTCTGACATTCATCTTCATAATCCCATGTACTTTTTCCTTGCCAACCTCTCTCTTGTTGACATCTTCTTCTCATCTGTAACCATCCCAAAGTCACTGATGAACCATCTCCTGGGTAGTAGAGACATTTCCTTTCTTGGATGCCTGACACAGATGTATTTCATGATAGCCTTTTCTAACACAGATAGCTATATATTGGCTGCAATGGCAATTGATCGAGCTGTGGCCATCAGTAGCCCACTTCATTATGCAACAATTATGAGCCCCCGGCTCTGTATCCTGCTTGTTGTTGGGTCTTGGGTGGTTGGAAACACCAATTCATTTCCTCATACTCTACTCACAGCTCATCTTTCCTTCTGTGGCAGCAAGGAAGTGGCCAGCTTCTACTGTGACCTTGCCCTTCTGCTCAAGCTCTCCTGTTCTGACATCTACTTTAATGTGAAGATAATGTTTCTAGGGCTTGTTGTTTTCTCTCTGCCATTCCTTTGCATAATTATCTCCTATGTTCAAGTCTTCTCCACAGTCTTACGAGTTCCATCCATGAAGGGCACACTCAAAGCCTTCTCCACCTGTGGTTCTCACCTGACAGTGGTTTCTTTGTATTATGGGACAGTTATGGGCATGTATTTCCGACCTCTGAGCAGTTACAATCTAAAGGATGCAGTGATAACTGTGATGTACACAGCAGTGACCCCAATGTTAAATCCTTTCATCTACAGTCTGAGAAACCGGGACATGAAGGCTGAACCTCTGTGAGATCACTGTGACATCATATACTGGGTACTATGGTCACCAGTTGGGAAATGTTTATAGATCCAGTGATTCTGTCAGCTCCTTATAAGAAGCTTTCTTCCATCTTTCCAGCCTGAATTTCCTTTTCTTAGAAATCTTGTAATAGTTTGAGGAGACAACTCATTGAAATTATCACTTTCAACACATTTCCACTCCTTTTGGCAGAGTGGCACCACATGGTATTGGGTTTATGTTCCACCTATCCTATGGTCTAAAGAGTAAAGTTTGGAAAGTCTCAGCTTTGACTTCCACTTCCACATATTAGGAAAAAAGTTTTCCTGACTTGTATCATGGGGCGTGGTCACCATAGCTCATGCTTCAAAGACTAGAAGTCACTCCTTGCATGTCAAATTTACTATCATGTTGATTCACCCCTACTAGACTTGTACACCTCTGTAGCCAAGACTTATATTAACACATGACTCCATTCACAATCTTTGCTGTGTAAAGTGAACCCAAAAGCTATTAATGGAGGTGCAATCAGTGAATGAAAATATATTTATAAAATGTAATCAGATAATGACGCACAATAAACAGGCTAGATATATTTGCTCATTCTCAAAATCTTTAAATACTCTGACCCAGCATCCCAGATGTCAAAGCCAGGATGTGGTGGATCCTCCCAGGTGAAATTCCTGATTTCCTTTGGTCTTCTGGTAGGAGCTGTGATCAACTGTGCAGATAATATCAGAGCCGAAATCTTTACATCATGTCCATGAAGGGGATTAAACTTAACAAAAGATGTGAATGACCTCTACAAGGAGAATTAC